ACCTGAGGGGGATGCAAGGCCGGGAAGGGCGAATTCAGTAGAGATAGACGGCCTGAGGGGCTTGGAAGGGAGGCCTTGAAGGAGGTGGAGCATGGTTATAAGGAGGGCCTCAGGGAGATGGAGCCTGGCTGATGAGGAGGGCCTTCCAGGGATGGGGGTCTGAAGGGAAGACCTGGGGAGGATGGAGAAAAGTGTGGGACTGAAGGGGAAAGTGGGCTGGTAGGTGAACCTGAAGAAAAGGAGGGCCTGAAAGGGGGATATGAGAGTACTTTAGGGGCGTGTGTCGGGGGGTCGTAATGTGAATGATGGGGCCAGATTGAGGCCGACCCTGGAGTACTTAGGACAGAGACAGGGAAATGGACGGTAAAGTTGGAGGGTGTGGAAGATATACTTATTGAGGATTCGGTCTTGCAGGGGAGCCTGGCTATGATTGGAAGGTGCCAGGGGCAGGTACCTGTTGGGGAACTTGGGCCCAGGAGGAGGATCCATGGTTGGAAAGCCTGAGATCAGAGAGGAAGGGAGAATCTGAAGGAGGGACTTGAGCAGGGCTGGAAGTTCAGAGTGGGGCTGACGACCTGAAAGAGGTTCTAGCAATGATGGAGGGAGGAATCTATAGGGAAACAGCAGCCTGGAGGGGGCACTGGGAGGAGAGGAGGCCAGGAGGGGGATCCTATAAGGACCCTAGGCCTGGGGAGAGGGGAGTGTGTGGAGACAGAAGGCATGGAAGAAGGATCTGCAGGGGCTGGGGTCAAAGGGCAGGCTGGTGAGGAGCCCTATGGGGGTAGAGTCAACAACAGTAAAGTCCAGGGGAGTGTTGGGAGCCCAGAGGTGGGGGGAGCATCTAGCGGGATGGGAGGGCCTGAAGTGGGGACCTGAGGAAGACAGGACAATGAAATTGACAAGGAGGAAAGAAGGGGACCACAGGGATCTGTGAGTCGGGAGCCCTGGCGGATGGGCCTGCTGGAGACAGGGCTGGTGGGAGGATGTGCCGGGCTGGAGTGTCCGGAGACGGGAGACTCTGGCTCTTGGGGCCCAGGGTGGGTTTTGGTCCGGGAAACCGGGCGGCCTTCCCTCTGCCCGGCCGGCTAGCTTAGTTCTCTTGTATCCGCAGGTACGTGCGTCCGCTGCACACGCTCCTGAGCGCGCTGGTAGTGGCGGTGGCCCTTGGCGTGCTGGTGTGGGCAGCTGAGACCCGCGCAGCTGTGCGCCGCTGCCGCCGCAGCCACCCCGCCGCCTGCCTGGCCGCAGTGCTTGCCGTCGGCCTCCTGGTTCTCTGGGTCGTGGGCGGCGCTTGCACCTTCCTGCTCAGCATCGCCGGGCCGGTGCTTCGTGAGTCTCCACTACCCCGAGATAGCTGAGAAAGCGGCCAGAGCATGCTTAAGGCACCAGGCCAGCCCTGCTCCGGTCCCTGGGTTGAGGGGGGCTGGGAAATCCGGAGGGCCTGGCCACGCCTCCGTTAAAAGCGCCTTCCCGGACCTCATTCCCCCTTCTGGGAACGCCCCTTTTATTACCGCCTTTCCGATCTCTCTCCTGGTGTTAAATGCCTTCCACTGGCCACGTCCCCGTTACCGGGATCGCTCCCTGGCCATGCCTACGTTGCCAAGCCAATTAGTTGGCCACGCTTTCAGGATCTGAGGCATCCTGGCCGCTTACCACTCCATTGGCCTGCCTGCACGCCAATTCCCTTCGGTGGACCCCAGTTGGCTGCAGGCTGAGGTCTATTCCACTGACCCCTCCTCTTGGTGCCGCCCACAGTGATCCTGGTGCACGCCTCGTTGCGCCTGCGCAACCTTAAGAACAAGATTGAGAACAAGATCGAGAGCATTGGTCTCAAGCGGACGCCAATGGGCCTGCTACTAGAGGCGCTGGGACAAGAGCAGGAGGCTGGATCCTAGGCCCCTGTGATCTGTACCCAGGACCTGGAGAATACCACCCCAACCCCAGCCCATAATTGGGACCCAGAGCCCTTTCCCAGAACACAAAACAGGAGCCTAGAGCACACTGCCCAAACCAAACAGGACATATGTGACTGCCCTACCCCCATGCCGGCCCCAAAGTAGGATATCCCTCCCACCTAGCCCCCGTTACCCAAGGATAAGAATCTTCCCCAGCCCTGAACCTGGGACCCAGAGCCACCTACATCCAGCCCCAGAACTGGGGCTTGAGGCCAGAGCATCCATGGTCAATTTCAAATTGTGAACCCAGAGACACTCCCATGCACCTTTCTCCATGCTCAGCCCCAAACTGGGGCCTAGGGCAAGGCACTCTGAAATCTTGAACCCTGGACCAAAGCTTTTCCAGACCCCATCCTACCTTCCCACCCAGGTCAAGACATTGCCAAATCTTGAACTCAAAACCCAAGTGTTCCAGGCCCCTGTGTGGAGTCAGGTATCCTGACTGTTGGACCCCTGGTCCCAGGTGATCCCGACCCTCACCAGTCCCACTTGCCTCCCTCCAGCTCTGCTTAGGGATTTTTTCCCCACATCCCAATGTTCCACACCATTGACAACCAAGGGGCGGGGTGGGGACAGGTCTCGGCAGGGAATGGGGCATATATGTTAGTGTTGCTGCAACAATAAAGGCTGTTGCATTCTCAAGCCAACTGGAGCCTCCTGCGTAAACCTGCACATTTCAAAGGACAGAAGTGGCCTTCTGCTTTTCAATTCTGCTAGACTCTTCCTGAATATGTGGGCTGAAGAGGTGATCTCTGAGGCCCTTCCTTGAACCTGTTACCTCTGGATCATCATTAAAGCACAGGGGAGGGCAGGTGCCGTGGCTCATGCCTGTAATTCCAACACTTTGGGAGGCTGAGATGGGAGGATCACTTGAGGCTAGGAGTTTGAGACCAGCCTGGGCAATATAGCAAGGTTCTATCTATCTCTAAAAAGAAATTAAAACAGCTGGACATGGTGGTGTGCTTCTGTAGTTCCAGCTACTTGGGAGGGTGTGGCAGGAAGATGGCTAGAGCCCAAGAGGTAGAGGCTGCAGTAAGCTGTGATTGTGCCATTGCACTCCAACCTGGGTAACAGCAAGAACCTGTCTCAAAAAGCTAGGCATGGTAACTAATGCCTGTAATCCCAGCACTTCGGGAGGTTGAGGCAGGAGGACTGCTCAAGCCCAGGAGTCCAAGACTAACCTGGGCAATATAATGAGACCTCATCTCTACATTATTATTTTGAGACGGAGTCTCGCTCTGTCACCCAGGCTGGAGTGCAGGAGTGCAGTGGCACAGTCTCAGCTCACTGCATCCTCAGCCTCCAGAGTAGCTGGGACTACAGGTGCATGCCACCATGCCTAATTTTTCGTATTTTTAGTAGAGACAGAGTTTCACCATGTTAGGCAGGATGATCTTGATCTCCTAACCTCATGATCTGCCCGCCTCAGGCTCCCAAAGTGTTAGGATTACAGGCGTGAGCCACTACGCCCGGCTTACAATTTTCTTTTTAATTAGTGGGTATAGTGGTGCACAACTGTAGTTGCAACTATTCAGGAGGCTGAGATGGGAAGATTCTTTGAGTCTGGGAGGTCAAGGCTGCAGTGAGCCGTTATCACCACCACTACATTTCAGCCTGGGCAACAGAATGAGACATTGTCTCAAAAAAAATAAAAATTAGGCTGGGCACAGTGGCTCACGCCTGTAATCCCAGCACTTTGGGAGACCAAGGTGGGTGAATCACAAGGTCAAGAGATCAACACCATCCTCGCCAACATGGTGAAACCCCATCTACTAAAAACACAAAAATGAGCTAAGTGTGGTGGCACGTGACGGTAGTCCCAGCTACTTGGGAGGCTGAAGCAGGTGAATTTGCTTGAACCAGAGAGTCAGAGTTGAAGTGAGCTGAGATTTTGCCACCACACTCCAGCCTGGCAACAGAGCAAGACTCAAGAAAGAAAGAGAGAGAAAAGGAAGGAAGGGAGGGAGGGAGGGGGAGAGGGAGAGAAAAAAAAAAGAAGGAAAGCAAAGCAAGGAGCAAAGAAAAGGAAGAAAGAAAAAAAAATTTAAAAAGTATAGGGAGGTTAAGAACAGAGAATCTTTATTATCATCATTTATATTATGTTACCAAGAGTTATTGTTTGAGGTTGGCTAGAAATCTGAGTGCAGACAGGCAAAGAAGTTGCCCCACATCACAAGTAAAGTCAAAACAGATGACACTATCACAGGCTATTCCCAAGGTATGTTTTTTCCTGTAAAAATATATTATCTGGTCTTGACTAAAGGTGTGGGCCCTCAAGGCAAGGCAGACAGAGCAGCAACACATGGGTTCAGTTTACACATTTATTATAGAAATCCCCTTCCAGTGTGGGTAATGTCTTGGGCCCAGATCCATTGGTACAAAAAGAAAAGTTTAACACCAGGAAAAGGGGGTAGGGGAACCCCCCAGCTCCAGAAAGTCACAGACAGGTATCATAGAAAACACAACTTGTGTGGGTTTGCTTAAAAAGTGGTAGATGGGGCCGGGCGCAGTGGCTCAAGCCTGTAATCCCAGCACTTTGGGAGGCTGAGGCGGGTGGATCACGAGGTCAAGAGATCGAGACCATCCTGGTCAACACGGTGAAACCCCGTCTCTACTAAAAAATACAAAAAATTAGCTGGGCATGGTGGCGCGTGCCTGTAATCCCAGCTACTCAGGAGGCTGAGGCAGGAGAATTGCCTGAATCCAGGAGGCGGAGGTTGCGGTGAGCTGAGATCGCGCCATTGCACTCTAGCCTGGGTAACAAGAGCGAAACTCTGTCCCAAAAAAAAGAAAAAAAAAGATAAAATAAAAAGTGGTAGATGGGGGCCGGGTACAGTGGCTCACACCTGTAATCCCAGCACTTTGGGAGGCTGAGGTGGGCAAATCACGAGGTCAAGGGTTCAAGACCAGCCTGGCCAACATGATGTAACCCCGTCTCTACTAAGAATACAAAAATCAGCCAGGCATGGTGGCATGTGCCTGTAATCCCAGCTACTCAGGCAGCTGAGGCAGGAGAACTGCTTGAACCCAGGAGGCGGAGGTTGCAGTGAGCCAAGACCATGCCACTAAACTCCAGTCTGGGTGACAGAGCGAGACTCCACCCCACAAAAAAACAAAAAGTGGTGGATGGAAGGAAAGCCAAGGAAGGTGTGAGTGGCCCGTGGCCCGTGGCCAGATCTCACCTAAGGATTTTACTGGCATCTACTGGATTCCAGGTCTGGTAGACGCCAGGTTCAACCCCACAGCATCCCAGGACACAGCACACACATAGCCCTTTGCCCCTCCTGTGGGGTCTCCTGACTAGGGGTGGTCAGGATAGAGGCTGTGGGCACAGATGGAACTGGGCTTCTTCAGGCATCCCACCCAGACTGCAGTCCTTCCAAGTGTGGGCGGAGAGCTCACTGCCCCGACAAATGCCCTGGCGATGGGTGGCAGGGACTTCTGTTCACACCAGAGTCTCCTGGCTGCCCTAAATGGCCCTGAGACCCGATATGGTCCATTTTATGGAGGGGGTTCCTAAATGGAACCCGGTTGGGCATGGGAACAGGAATGAACCCAACCAGATGAGATCACAGTTTCCCTTTTATAAAACGCCTAGTGTTGGAGGAAGACAGTGAATACCTAAGTTACAACTGTAAACAGAAATGGAGGAAGGGGCTTGGGGTCCCCATGACATCATCCCCTCTCTTTTAAGCTGGCAGAAGGCCCCCAGTCCCCAGCACAGTGTGAGAGAAACAGGGTGTCAGACACCTTCCTGGGCCCACAGGAAGCCAGAGGCCTTGGAAGATAAGGTTGGCACACTCTGCTCGGGACTGAGAGCAACCACACCCCAGGGCCCAGCGAGGTCAGCTGTGTGCTCCCCAAACTGAAATCGTGCCCAGGCCAACAAGGGGCATATCAGAAGGGATCAGACCAGCGTCCCTGGGGTCTGGGTGTCAGAACTGGAGGACTGCTCCCCCTCTAGCGTCAGGTCACTTAAACGAGCGCTCAGCTCCGGGGGATACAGGAAGTCCGCGTAGTATCTTTAGAAGGGTAGCAGGAATCCGGAGGACAGGGCGGAGAAGACAAGAAGAGAGGAAAAGGCAGACAAGACAAAGAAAGAGAAAGGAAGAGGCTCGTTAAAGAGGTGGAGGCAGGCATAGGATAGCACTTTCAGGCCCCGGGGCAAGGAGAGAAAAGGAGGAGAACGGCAAGGGGCATGAGATGTCCCTTCCTCCCAGCACCCTGCGTCAAAGCTCATCTTCAGCCTATAACTTGATAAAGAACTGCTGCTACCAGCGCCCAAGATCCCCTCCACCAGGACCCCTTGGACTAACGCAGATCATGCGCAGTAGAGTGACCCTATGCCATCGCGGCAGCTAGTTTCCTCATGGTCCAATTCATTAGCAATCATGACTAGCCATTCCCTGGCCTGGATATATTCACCATCTGCCTTAAGAGACCCCTACCCATCAGTAAAAGCACCCCCCATACCTGCCAGAGACAGGGGGCGCCGTGAAACTCCTCGAGTGTGGGAGTGGCGCCTGGCTGGGGGCCCCGTACAGCGCCTGGCCCACCTCATAGCAGCGGGCATGGAGAAAGGTTGGGTGTGATGGACCCGCAGAGGGGAGCACAGGCCGGCGCTGAGGCCCCGCAGCCAGTCCCGAGTTCCGGATGTACCAGTCCCGCAGCCCCTCCAGGGCCAGGTTCTTGTGGCCACTGCGTTCACCAGCTGAGGGGATACGGGTGGGTGGGGGCATCCACAGCAGAGGGTTTGGATGCACCTCAGGGCCCTCGGCAGCCTCTGGGGGCAGGCCACAGGGCTTGGTGCGTGTGGCACGGGTGTGGGGGTCCTTGGTGCGGAGGAGGGGGCTGTTGCTGTCAGCTGCATACACAGGTGGTGGGCCGGGGAGCATGGTGAGGAGCCCGTCCCGGCGGGAAAGGGGTCCTGGGACCTCAGCTGCAGGCAACAGCTCCCCCCAGCCTGCTCCACCGCCACTGCGTGGCAGGCCGCGGTCCAGGGAATAGTCCAAGAGGAAGTCCCCACACACAGGTGGGAGCCGGGGGGCACCTCGGGAGGCAGGCGCAGCTGAGCTAGGCCGGGCGGCGCGGGGAGGGTCTGGGGGGCCAGCTGTGCGGGAGGAGAAGGCAGGGGTTGGTTGGGGGCGCTCATACAACACCTCACTGCTCTTGCAGACTGGGGGGCCAGAGGCAGAAGAAGCCAGAGGGGCAGGCGGGGAGCCGGCTCCCCCGCCAGCTGCCCGGTCCACCAGCAGGGCCTCAGAGCTGTTGCTGCGGCGGGTGCGAGCTACGAAGAGGGAGGTGCGATCGGAGGCAGGGTCTGCCCGGGGGAAGCCCATCTGGGAGTCCTGGCTGCCGGACCACTGGCGAGAATGAAGGCCTTCAGGTCTGGAGCGAGAGGCGAGGGTCATGGGAATAGGTTCAGAAAAATCAGGCAGGCCTGCAGTGCCCTCCCTACCCCACCCCTTTCTGAGCCTTCACTTTTTTTTGTTTTTTTCCCCCTAGATGGAGTCTCACTCTGTGACCCAGGCTGGAGTGCAGTGGCACAATCTCAGCTCACTGCAACCTCCACCTCCCGGGTCCAGGTGATTCACCTGCCTCAGCCTCCCGAGTAGCTGGGACTACAGGTGTGCACCACCACGCCTGGCTAATTTTTGTATTTATTTTAGTAGGGATGGGGTTTCACCATGTTGGTCAGGCTAGTCTCAAACTCCTGACCTTGTGATCCACCCACCTCAGCCTCCCAAAGTGCTGGGATTACAGGCGTGAGCCACTACGCCCAGCTGAGCCTTCACTTTCACATCTCCAAATGGGCCCAGGGTTGGAAGCTGTGTATAACGGTGGCAGGTAGTGACATGTAAAGGGTAGCTAAGGTTCTGTCTCAGGCTACGGGGTTGGGAGTAGAAATGTATGGGGGAGGCCTGGCGCTGTTAGTCTCGAGGGAGGTATAAATATGTGTAGGGACTCATAGCTAGCAGAGGAGGGGCCAGGCAGGGGGCTCTTCCTAATCCAGCTGACCCCTCCTTCTGCTAAGGCCCTTCTCATGGCTCACATGGCCTCCAGGATTGAGTCCCAGGCCTTAGGGCCCACATGTAAAACTCTGCCTGAACTCTATATCCAACTGTCTGTATGAACCACCCAAAGCTACTATCCCAGCAGCCACCATTCACAGAATGCAAGCCTCACAAGGATGGGGACTTGGTTTTGTTCAGAGCCTGGGGAAAGTAGGCACTCTGTTTAAGAAGAAGAGGAAAGTGGTTAAAAACATGGACTCTAGAGTCAAACTTGCCTGGGTTCAAACTCCAGGACTTCAGTTTACTAACAAGTTACTTAACCTTTCTGTGCCTCACTGGCCTCATCTATAAAATGGGAATAACAATAGCACCCACTTCATAGGGATCTCATGATGATTAAATGAGTTGATACCAGGTAAAACGCTAATTCCTAGCAGGTGGCAAGCACTCAGAATAAGTTAACAAGAACTTATGTCCATGTCTTTCAAAGGCAGATATTATTATTCCCATTTCACAAATGAGGAGACAATGATCCAGAGAAAGGGAATGGCTTGTCCAAAATGCACAGAAAAGCCTGTACTCAAACTTTGGTGCTTCTGCCCCAAATCCCCACCCCATTCTCCACCAAGATGATGCCTGTCCACCTTTAGCGCCCAGCCTCCCATGTCCCACACCTTTTTTTTTTGTTTGTTTATTTTGAGATGGAGTTTCGCTCTTACTGCCCAGGCTGGAGTGCAATGGCACAATCTCAATCTCGGCTCACTGCAACCTCCACCTCCCGGGTTAAATCAATTCTCCTGCCTCAGTCTCCCAAGTAGCTGGGATTACAGGCATGCCTCACCATGCCCGGCTAATTTTTGTATTTTTAGTAGAGACGGGGGTTTCACCATGTTGGTCAGGCTGGTCTTGAACCCCTGACCTCAAGTGATCAGCCCGCCTCCACTTCCCAAAGTGCTGGGATTACAGGCATGAACCACGGTGCCCAGCCATCCCACACCTTTTGATAATGCTGTCCTGTCCTCAAGCCTCCAGTGAGAACTAATGGCTCCCTCCCCTCTGATCTTCCAGCCCACCCTCAGATTCCCCTTACTTGCAGAGCTGGGGGCCAGCGCCCCGGGTGAGGACAGGGGTGGCAGGCACACTTCGACCCTCAAAACTGGAGGCACTCCTGGGCAGCGAGCGTGTGGGGCTAGACAGAGAGGGGCAGGCCCAGGTGGGGGCCCAGGTTAGAGACTGTACCCACCAGCAGAACCTCCGCCAGCCCAGGCTTGCTATCCCATTCCCAGCTCCTGCGGAAGGGAAGAGGAGCTCATTTTCACCTGGTGGGGCTGGCCACAGAGTTCCGCCGGCTCTTCAGATCCCCGTAAAGATCTGATGGGGGTGGTTTCCATGGGGTTCGCCGCTCAGGGCTCCCCCCAGATACTGCCCGAAGCTGGTCCCAAGCCTTGGGTGGTGAGGGGCGCTCAGCCAGAGAGAAGCAGCCATGGGGCTCCTCTGGGTGGAAGAGAGCAACTGATGTAGAATTCAATGAGGGGGGCTCAGTGGGGGCAGGACAGGCTGGGGGGCAAGATCATGGGGAGGGGCAAAGTGCTGGGACAGGTTAAGCAGGGTGAGGAGGGGCTAAGGCTGACAAGTAGGTTCTGGGGCTGCAGGGCTGGTGTGGGGTGAGGCTCAAAAGATGGGTGACCCACAGGAAGATGAGGCATGGCTAAGGAGAAGCTGAAGAAGCACGGGAGGGGCTGGGCATCAAAGGATGGGCTGATCATGCAGGATGTGGTCAGAAGGAAAAAAGGGGATAGGCTGAGGGGATGCAGGGGTCGGGGCAGGTTTGGGGGATAGGAGTCCTCACCGTTGTCATGGCTGGCCCCAGACTCTGAGAGTGAGCTGCTCTCCGAGTGCAGAACTACGTCCTCTACAGGTTAGAGGGGGAGAAGCGGGCCTCTCACTCCCAGGCCTAGGTGCCACCCCCTTACACCACTGGGTGAGCACCTCCACTTGGCCCACCTTCTAGCCAGTTTCCTCCTCACCCTGTTGCCTTCCCAAGAATCTGCTTTTACCAGAGCCCAAGACCACACTGGCTTGGTTCCTGACTGTCCTGGCAGATATTCATCAGTCCCCCGCAGTTTGCCCTTTCCAATGAGCCAGTTTGTCACAACTCCTCACATGGGTTGGGCTACTTGAGTTGTGCCTACCTCCCGGCCACTCGCCCATCCCAGCCCTGCCACGTCCATTCAATAGTGTCCACTCTCTCACCCTCACCAGGGGATGCTCACCTTGGCTGAGCTGAGTGAGGCGCATGCCCAGGCAGACTCCCTGGGCGGTGATCACTGGCCCTGTAGACAGCGGCAGTGGCTGGGGTGGTGGGAGCACTGGGAGGCCAAGGCGGGCCCGGACGTCCCCGAGCTGCTCCTCCAGTTCGTGCAGCCTCCGCAGTGCGTCTGCCTGGACCTGGCGCCGGCGCCGGCGCTGCTCGGTGCTCAGATCAGGGGCCAGGGCCAGGCGGCGGGCAGCTGCTGCAATCTGCTGCTGCACTGACACCTCGCGTTCCAGGGCCTCAAGAGCCAGCTCCTGTCGGGCCCACACAAATGTTGGAAATGGCCAGGCACAGGGACCTGGTGGGGCCAAACCCACTAGAGGCTGTCCTGCGCTTCCAGAGGCATATTCAGGCCTATTCACCTGCAGGTGGAGCTTATTTACCCGGGGGAGGGGGCAGGGCAGGGCAGGGCAGGGCAGGGCAGGGCAGGGCCTCTCTTGGTGAGGGGCTGGGTCTGTTCATCTTCCTGAGCATGGGAGGCCTGTCCTGACAATTAGGGACCAGCATCCTCCCTCATCGCAGGAACCTACCTCCAGAAGCCCTTTTCCTTCTCATCTTAGCCTCTCCCTCACCTGGCCACAAGCCCTCTCCCCATACCTTCCTCCTGGCTACTCCTCTGTACCTGTCCCCTCTCCCCACCCTCTTGCTCTCCACACCCATCTGCTCACCTCAGCAGGGCACAAGGAGTGGTGTGCTGGGTTGGGGTGTGGTGGAGGGTAGGCACGGGCTGTGGGGGGCCGCCGGCGGACCAACTGGGGCCGTTCACCAGGCTCCAACGGGCACTCAGGGGGCAGCTGGCCAGTCAGCTCCTGGTGGGGGGCAGAAGTCAGAGACTACCAAGGGTTAGTTGGAAGGATGGGGTAACATGTTAATGATCCCAGAAGCTACAGAAGTCCTACCAGGAGCCTGGCCCTGCTCAGCACCCACACACGATACTTCCCTTCCTCCTCCCATTATGTCCACCAGGCAGGCGTGCCCAAACCTCAATGGCCCAAACCCCTGTGGTGGTGGGCATGAGAGGCAGGGAGACCTGCTTTGGGATCCAAAATTGTTTCATTTTTATAAAGGTGACACCGTCGAGATCCTAAGTATTATATAACTCCCTTCGGGGGCTGGGGCTGCGTGGTCTGAGCTATAGTATTATTTCTGGCACACTGTGGGCATTCACAGTAAGGGGGGAAACTGAAACTACCCATCACCCTGTGCCAGTTCAGGTCTGACTATGCTGCCAAACTTTGAACAGAACCTGTTTTCTGAGGTTTGTTGGATTTGAAATTATCGGCAGGGGATTGTGTACTTGTATTACCATATTTCATTCATTCTAACACATCTAAGCTGAGCTTTGAGGAGAAAGTGGGTGACAGGGAAAAGTGGGTGACACAGCCAGGACAAGTGGTTAAACAACTGCCACCCAAGTCTGTCTATCTAAGGACCCCAGCTCCTCACCTCCCCCACCACCTCCCCGCCTGACACCCCTAGGGCCAGGCCCTTACCGCCTCCTGGAGACACACTTTGCGGAGCTCCTGAAGTTTCAGGCTCAGGGCCTCCTGCAGGGTCCGCTGCCGGTCAAGCAGCCCCCGCAGACGCTCTGACTTCACCTGGGGGGCAGCCTCTCCGAACAGGGCAGCTGGACACAGAGAGAGCAAAGATCAGTGGGACAGCCAGGGCATCCTGGAGCAGCTGTGGGGCCAGGGACCAACTCTTCCCAAGCAAGCAGGTGGTGATTCAGAGCAGGGGAGGAGGCAGCAGGAGGGGAAGCAGCCACCGACCTGGGGCATTGAAGGTAGGAGAGCTGATCAGCTGACCTTTGACTTCCATCTTGGTGCTGTTGAGAGGCCGTGGCTGATGGCTGGACAAAGTCTGGCAGTGACACACAGGAGCCGTTAAGAAAGCACGTCCCATGATACCCCAACCCCCAGCCCTTCCCAACTTCCCATGCCACAGCAGGGAATAAGGGGTAACCTGGGCCCCACGTGCCTGCTTGACCTGCCCTTTCAGAATCCGTGTGGATGTCTGGACCCACTTGGCCCTGGTACCTTGGTTCCCTTCGCATTGAGTGGGAGCACGGCAAGTGGGGAGCTGGGCGGACTTACAACGCCTCCTCAGAGGCCCATGGGTCACAGCCAGGAGTCTTGCCTGGGGAGGGAGAATTAATGGGACAGATTCAACCAACTATAAGAACAGCAGGCACGCAGTCAGCACCTGGTTGCCTGCAACAGTTACCTACAATGCCACATTGAATCTTCATAGCCACCTGGGAAGATTCATACTCCCATTTTACAGATGAGGAGAGGAAGGCACAGAGGTGAAATAACTGGCCCATAGCCACAGACATAACCCAGGCCCACCCCCAGGACCTACACTCTTACTCACGAGAACCGCTCCAACTCTACCAACTTCCTCATAAGCTCCCTGGTCCCTCAGGCCTCAGGGTCTTTGCCCAGGCTGTGGCTGCTGCCTGAAATGCTTTCTTCAACCTGTCACCACCCCAGCCCCTTCGTGTCACTTATCATTCTAGAGCTTAAATATCACTTCCACAGGGGGCCCCTGTGTTATATCCTCTCACAAACGGTTGTCCAACAAGAGATTATGCCTCCTGGAACATCCACGAGGACAGAAAACATTATCTGCCCCATTTTCATCAGTATCGCCAGCACCCTGAACACGGCTGTACACGCAAGTGCTCAATGAATGGGTGCCAGGTGAATGAATAAAAGACGGAGTAAACGAATGAGGAGGCAGTGGAGCCAGGGTTCAAGCCCAGATCTGTGGGTCTGTGCTTGTCCCAACTCCATTCTGTAGCTGTAGTGCAGCAAGGAGAGTGTTCACTGTGTTCACTTGACCCAGGGTCCCTCCAGCCCCTCTCCCCACGCCAGCCTGTCCTGAGCCTAGCTAGGGAAGTACCCCTACTGGAATTTGTAAGAAGTAAAGTCCACAGCTGAAAATAACAAACCACCTGCCTCCTGCCTCCTTCTCTGCCCCCAATGCCTCTGCTGACCATGAAGCCTGCCTTGGCTGGCCACCAGCCCTGCCCTTGTCCCCTCCTTTGGAGTTTGCTCCCTCCCTTCCACATCCTGCTCAGTCCCCAGCTGGGCAGCCGAGTGACATCACCTCCCACCACCTGGCCTAAACTCAATGGCAGGTGACTGGGAGGGTTTTATGGGGCCACAGAGTTCCCATCATCACCTACCTTGAAATCAGCAGCTTGTCATGACACTGTTAGCCTGGTGTGAGGAAGACCCAGCCAACCAAGGAGGCATGGGTTCAAGCCCCTTCCCCATCTGTATATTGTGGGGTGAGGCCAAGCTGCCTATAAGGTGTCAGTTTTCTCTCCAGTTCTCCTACCTGCCCCATAGGGCCTGTACCCCTCTCTTGAAGCAGTGGTGCCCTGCCTTCAATAGCAGGGGTGGGAACCAGTCCCTAAAGCCTTTTGACAAACCCAGGACCCAGCAGAGGCATTCACATCCCCACTCATCTAAGGTCTGACATTTCCCAACATGGCAGGAGTTTCTCCACACTCCAGCTCATTGGGGCTCCCACTTTCCCAGGCACCTTTGAGGCCTGAGGAACTCTCATAGGGCTCCCTGGAACCTTCCTCCACCCCCGTAGGAACCCAACTCCATCCATGGTCCCCTTTGCCAGCATTGGTCCCAATCCAATGCTGGGCTGCTTCAATCCTTTTTTTTAAATTATTTTGGAGACAGAGTCTGGCTCCGTTCCTCAGGCTGGAGTGCAGTGGTGCAATCTCAGTTCACTGCAGCCTCCACTTCCCAGGTTCAAGCAATTCTCCCACTTCAGCCTCCAGAGTAGCTGGGATTACAAGGGTGCGCCACCATGCCTGGCTAATTTTTGCATTTTTAGTAGAGACAGGGTTTCACCATGTTGGCCAGGCTGGTCTCAAAGCCCTGACCTCAGGTGATCCAACCGCCTTCGGCCTCCCAAAGTGCTGGCATTACAGGCGTGAGATACTGTGCCCAGCCAATCCTTTCTTCTCTAGGAGCTCAGAACATCCTGGAAGTCAAGACAGGGTCCACACAGGAACCCCAACTCCTCCCTGTCAGCCAGACCTCAGGGGACATAGCTAGAGCATGAGTCATGGGGTCACTTGGCAGGCTACACACAGGGTCAACGCCCCACACCCCCACACCCAGCTCCCAAGCCTCTGCCTCCATTCACCTGCCCTCTGCACACTTGCCAAGGGGCCTGGGGCTTCCTCGCCCCCACCCAGATGGAGAGAAAGCACACCCCCACTCCAACCCCAGGTTTCCCCCGACCAATGACCCCATGGCCCCTATCCTGTCCCAGGGACGAGCTGCAGCGGGAGAGCGGCAGAGGGCACCCCCACACCCAGAGGCGGGCCTGGCAGGTTTTTCAGGTCTGCCATTCTGACACCACAGCTGAGAAATTCCTGGCTGTAATGACTGTTTACAACCAAGATACCTCACCTGGGTGGCACCCCAACACTTGGGGGGGCGCATTTCCACATCCTGTCACTATCAGAGCAAATACAAACTCTCAATGTCTGGGAGCCCCCCCTTCCTCCACTGTAGTGAACAAATCGGGCATAGGCAGACAGGTGCCTGAATAATGGTTTCTCAGTAACTCAGTCAGGTCTTTCTTGGGGGGAGCTGCTGAGGGAGGGCAGAGGCTACTCCTGGCAGGGAAGAAAGGAAGTAGGGATACGGTGGAGAAGGGGGGACTCATACTTCTCTTTTCCCTGATCCCTCCTCGTCCATTTCCGGCAGGGAATCGGCTCAGTGCCAGGAAAGGAAATTGGAGTTTTTTGGGCTTTGCCCCTCTCCTCAGGCCCTCCGTTCTCGACGCCCCCCCTCCTGCCCTGCCCTGCATTTGCTGGTGTGCCTCTCCCACAGACCTGGCTCTCCTATGAAGGGAACTTCAATACACCCTGCCCCAGCTCCCCAATGCCCTCGTCCCCCTCACGCCCTGGGCCCACTGCTCCCAGGTGCTCACCAATGCCAGAGAGCGCTGTGGGGTAGCCTCAGATACCTCAAAAATAGTTGTCTCGACCAGGCCCTGGCTCCAGCTGGTAGTGGCAGTGAGCAGCAGTGGCAGATGCCTTGGCCACCTCCCACTAGGTAATGGCCCAGCCTACCTGGCCAGGAACTGGGCCGTCCCACACCTTTTAACCCTTGCCTGTCTGTCACCAGGACTAGAGCCACCCCTGGGGGTAGTCTCAGGGCCAGGTCCGCTCAGGGTGCCCAGCATGTCTAAGAAAACACCCTGTGATAGGCAGGGTGGCTCACGCCTGTAATCTCAGCACTTTGAGAGGCCGAGATGGGAGGATCGCTTGAAGCTAAGAGTTCAAGGCCAGCCTGTGCAACATAGTGAGACCCCCCCCCATCTCTATGAAAGAAATTATTAAAACATTGGCCAGGCATGGAGGCATGTGCCTCCTCACCCCATACACTTAGCAGAAAACTGGGAAGAAGGGCTGAGAGTGGTGGGAGTAGCAGCTGCCTCTCCTACTGCCCAAATTCCCAGAGAATTAGACCCTGCCCACTCAAGGGACACCTTGGATCTGGGCCATAGAGGTGTGGGGAGCTGTAAAGTACATGGGAGGCTTCGGGTGGATACTGGGTTTCTGTCTCTTGGCAGTAAGCATCACATTCTGAGGCCCCTACCCTTTCCTGCCAGAGCAAGGCAGTGGTAGAAGGTCTTGGGGCAATTTCCACCCTCACTGCGGAATAGTTTCCCAAGTTGGCGACAGAGGAAGTTGACCTGCCTAAGGAGAGGCCAGGTCTCAAGATCCCACCACCTTCTGTGGCTCCAGAAGAAATAATTTCAATAAACCAAGTACAACTTACGCCCTACAAAACACGCATGGGTTTTGACCCCTCTTGGTCCATACAAATGTAGGAGGATAGCACAGACCCAGCCTCCTCACAGCCATTTTATTTTATTTTATTTTTATTTTTATTATTTTTCTTTTTTTTTTCAGAAGACCTTACCCGAACTCATAGCCATTTTACAGATATAGAAGCTGAGGCTTACAGAGGTGAAGAGGCCTGATTCAGATCACAGTGGCAGAAGGGCAGGTGGAATCAGAATTTCTGGGGGCTGGGTCCTGGCTGGGAGGCAGACAGAGGCTACTACTGCAATCGGGGAGAAGTAGGGAAGGGGGCTCATGCTTCTTCACATCCATGCTGGGTCTCTCCCCTTCGGAGAGTCAGGTTTCATGCCAGAGAAGGAAATGAGAGCCTTGAGTCCCTACGATGTACTGTACCCCCACTCCACCACCACCACCTGGGTTCCAGGCCTGTCCCAGCACACAGCACACATCCTGTGCTCCACTCAGGACCATCTGCTTTGTGACTTCAGGGCCCAGGGCCCAAGCCCCACCCAGCCCCCTGCAACAGCCCACACCATGACGTGGAGTGAGGAAAGCTGCAGGTGGGCCGAGGCTAGAGAGGAGCTCGCTCTGAATCAGCAGTGCCCTAGACTCACACTATTAAGGCCTCCCGCCATCCCTGCCCACCTTTCTTCCTGGGTGTGAGATTTCCAGCATGGAACACAAAGGCCCCTTTCATCGCTCTCCCCACTTCACTGCCTGGGGCTGGTAGAGGGGAGCAGCGGTAAGGTGGGCACTGGGTGTTAGTGGGGCGTGTCCTCTTGGCCACAGCCTCTCCCACCTCTTGTGGGCCACCAAGGATGTTGGGAAGAAGGGCAATAATAAAATCAGAGCCACCTGGGTGTGGTGGCTTACGCCTGTAATGCCAGCACTTTGGGAGGCCAAGGCAGGCAGATCACCTGAGGTCGGGATTTCGAGACCAGCCTGACCAACATGAAGAAACCTCTACTAAAAATACAAAATTACTAAAAATACAAAATTAGCTGGGCATGGTGGTGCATGCCTGTAATCCCAGCTACTTGGGAGGCTGAGGCAGGAGAATCGCTTGAACCCGGGAGGCAGAGGTTGCAGTGTGCCGAGATTGCGTCATTGCACTCCAGCCTGGGCGACAGAGCAAGACTCCATCTCAAAAAAAAAAAAAAAAGAAAAGAAAAATCAGAGCCAAGAGGGATGAGAATCTGGCTGGCAATGTGGATTGAGTCTTAAAAGCTTAGGTCTCCTCATCTGTAAGATGGGTAAAAGGTGGTTACAGAGACAATGGAGGCCAAGTAACTTTGAAAGGCATCTCAAAGTGCAGGGAAACACACCATGTCATTAATGACTGTTACTAACAACAATTAATACACTCACACAGAGGTAGGCTGTTGCAGGGGTAACTGGGGGAGAGCAAGTAACCAGACTTCCTGGGCCAGGCAATCAAATGGGGCAGAGTCACCAGCACACATCATTGCCCTGGTCCATGACTTTTCACAGCCTTGAAGATGACCCAACATTTAAGCCCCACCCTAGCTGGGTCCTGGGGCTTACATGACCCTGCCATCACTAGTAAATGGTGAATCTGGCATTCAACCCAGCTCTGCCACTTACTGTCTGTGTGACTGCTTGAACAAGACACTTAACCTCTCTGTGCCTCTCTGTCAATGGGGGACGATGATAACAGTATGTACCTCACGGGGCTATTGCGAGCATTAAATCAGTTAATACATTTAAAGCTTGGGCAGGACAGTGCCAGGTAAGAGCTCTGTATATGTTGGCTGTCACAGTTACAAGCATTCTTCCCCATACAAAGTCAGAAATCAAGTAGATACATTCAGATACATTTTTTCGAAACAGAGCTGGTGTACTTCCAGTCTCACTTGATAAATTTGAAACGTTGTTTTTCCTCAGATAACTTGTCTGAACTCTTGCTATCCAAAATCAGAGACTAAGTATATTCAGATGCATTTTTGAGACAGAACTGGTATCCCTCAGCTTCCAAATTCTACTTGCTATCCAGACATGAAGCCCTCCCTGCTCACCAAATGAGACATATTTGAAACAGAGCTGTTTTCCCTTATGATCCAACCTCTCCTTTCTCAACATCAAAAATGCAGGAACCAAATGCATTCAGAGAAATTGTCTGAACTCTCATCATCCAAATGCAAGAACTGAATGGATTTGGAAACATTTTAGAGATATGATTGATATCCCTCATTCTTGAACTTTCCTTACTCTCCAGGCAAAATGCAGGAACCAAATATATTTATATAACAGAGTGCCCTCACTATCCCAACTCTTGTCCCTGGAGCTCAGGAAAGTTCATAGATTTGGATATATTTTTGAGTTAGAGTCATTATTCCTCATTATCTTGATTTTCCCTACTCACTATGTAAGATGTGAAAGAAAATACCTTCAGATAACTTGGTAGGTTTCACTGTCTGAACTTTGGGAACTCTCCCTCTCAGAATTCAGGTACCAAATAGATTGGGACAGTGAGAAATACTTGTGTCATTATCAACAGGTTTGGATAGATGTTCAGGATAAATAAGATAGGTCTGGCATCTTGTTATTCAAACTCACTACTCTCTATGAGAAATGCAGGAACGAAACCTAATTGAGTAACACATTGCCCTCTAGCCATTCAAGTTCTCCCCATCATCCTCAGAATCAAGGAGATTCAGACAATGATGGAACCCTGCATTATTGTTGTCACTGTTACTACTGGGCAGGCCTGGTTACTACTGGACAGGCCTGATTCTTACATCTAGTGACTGCCTGGCCTTCTTCCCCACAGACAAGCCCCACAGAGGTGGGGCGGACTTAACACCAAGATTTTTATTGCTGACTGCTGAGAGAAGGAGGATGAATCCTTGACCCTATCCCTCTCTATACCAAGTCCTGAAGCCTTGGCCTAGAATAGACCTTTTCTTTTTCAGGCCGGGAAAGCAGGGATCATGCACCCAGAATCAAGACCAAGGAATAGAGGTAACATGGCCTAGAAGATTCATACATACCCCATGGGTCCCCCATCCCTTCATATTTTCTCAACCTTTCCCCCCAACATGAGGCTGTCCCCAACATAGCAAGGCTGGAAACATGACCCAGACCTCTCAGACTCCCAGAGAATCACTGAATAATTTAGGGTATTCTTTCACACTTGCAGAGAACAGGGGCGTAGGAACAGTTGCATGCCCTCCTGGGGCAGGATGAGAAATGTAAGCTCCATGTGCGATCACTAGGGGGAGGGTAGGGGAGATCACACACAAAAATACCATCAGCCACACAGGGCGCATAGGGCTGCTTGCTCTTGCTAAGAGAAGCATTTCGGATGTACTTCTGAGGTCCTGGGAACAGCAGAACCTTCAAGTTCGGGGCATGATATAATGGACCCCTTTCCTGGGCTCAGAAGGGATGGCAAGAGAATATTAGGAAGGAAGAAGATCTGAACAGGGTGGAAGGGCATGGTAAGGGGGAGAACAGCCTGGGGCTGGGATGGGAAGGGACAGAACAGGAACGAGCATAGGGGACAAGACAGAACCAGAGTTATCGCAGGATGGAGGTCAAGGGGCAGGACGGGGAATGAGCCAGGACACTGGCCAGGGGATGGGATGAGGTGAGGTTCAAGACAAGGGTCAGAGAAAAAGTACAAGAATGAGACAAAACAGCGGGGCAGGGGGCAGGGTTAACATAGAACAGCAATCAGAAGACCTGGCTAGGACAGGCTAAGTCGGTGGTCAAAGGAGGGGACAGGGAAAAGGGCAGGTTCAGGATGGAGGTCAGGAACAGGAAAAGACCAGGACACAATGAGGAAAGCAATGAGGATGGTGATGGGACAAGAAAAGAGGGAAAAACAGGACCAGAGTCAGGGACAGGGACAAGGCAGGAGACAGGGAGGGTATTTAAAGGTGGGGAGCCAGGATGCAGATCAGGAGTATATAGGAGAGGATATCATATAGGGTGCAGAGAAAGGACAGAAGTAAGAGAAAGGACAGAAGTCTAGTTCTGGACAGAACCAGATCAGATTGGGATTCGGGGAACAGGACATGACTGGAAGACGTTCGGAGACTGGATAAGAGTTTAGAGAACAGACAGGTCATGCGTCAGGACAGAAACTGGGGTGACTGTTGGGCATCAGGATAGGGCAAGATGCTTCAGAGATGAGACAGGGTCAGGCAAGGATCGGGGTCAGGTCAAAGTCCCCAGGACAGAACTGGAAGGGGTTTGAGGTCAGGACTGGATTTAGGGTGACAAAACAGGGGTTGAGGATCTCACCAGGCCAGAATATGATTAGGTCAGGGTTCGGACAGAAGGTCCTGAGGCCAAGGCCAGCAGAGGCTGAGGTTTAAAAAAGATGCAGTCAGGTCGGAAAGGGTCAGGGCTGAGGCCACGGGGTCAGATGTCCCGAGTGCGCGCGCAGGTACGCCCCGTCGGCGTTTCCGGGCCCTCACCCCACCCTGTCCCCTCCC